TAGTGGCTAGCAGTGGAATCCAGGACGAGCATTTCGTCCTATTTAGAACTCGTCAGCTGGATGTACCTGCATCGCAAAGTCGATGTTCACTCTGAGACTCGAAAGCAGTACCGTTTGCTTCAAACGCCACCGCGTTATCCCCATAGCTACTGAGTTCTGATAGCCACCTGGTTGTGCAAATCTTGTGACTTAAGGCTATATCGAGGCAATTATTATTATTATTATTATTATTATTATTATTATTATTATTATTATTATTATTATTATTATTAGCTTTATTCAATATTATAATTTTGGTACAATATAGAATTCTCAGCGCAAAGTATTTCAACAAGTTTCCGTTTCTTTCTTCTTGGTCGGTCCTGGCGATAAATATTGAGGAATCGCCAGTTAGATGTTAACACTTCAGTGAATGAACAACTGAATAATGTACATTCTTTTCGTTGTACATTGCCAGCAACCATATGGTCTCTTATTGAGTTTTCTGTAACTTTGACAACGAAAGGTTGTACACTTTTCAGAAACGCAGCAGAATAGGTTATGCGATTAATAAACATAATGATATATTAAAACAAACAACAATAGATAACTTGTTGAAATATCTAGATGGCAGGAACAGGTAGCCCAGATGCTCAAGCAGGCCGCCCTAGGGGATGCACATATACCAACATAAGACTGATCAATTGCAGTCCTGAATAACGATGGGAAGATACAAGTAAAACAACAAATGAATTTATAATATAAATTTATCTAAAAGAATAGCCTTTGTCAGTGTGTCTATGTTCTAATATAGTGGGAATTGTTAGGCACATACAGTTTTAATAATAAGAATAACTTGGTAGATGGTCAACAATAATTGACTTGTAATCTATTCTCTCTCTCTTTTTTTGACCATTATAAAACAAGCTAGTTATTTCATCACTGTCTATAATACTGAACATGTAAAACACTCTGTCCATCAATTTCTGTCCTTACATGTTATGCATCAACAAATTTTCTCAGTGTTTATTACATCATTAGATTAGGTTACTATTACCAAACTGATGCCAAGTCTATCCAGTCAACCAATGGTGCAGATTCTGTTTTATAGATTCTACTGAATTTTCTCTTATCCTCCATTCATTCGTTTTTTTCTTTTTACCCACGCGTATTTGAAAATTAGGTAACAAAGTTAGACTGGCAGCCTATATATATATATATATATATATATATATATATATATATATATATATATATATATATATATATATATATATATATATATATATATATATATAGAAATCATTGATTATCCTAAAATTGTTCATTAGACTCCTTTACCCTTAAAATTTCATCCCCCTAGTACCCTATACATATACATTAACAAGTTTATTCTAACTTGTTTGTTTTTGTGTTACTAAATGAATGATAAGTGAAATTTTCAATGTTTCTTTTAACACAATCAGCCTGTATTTTTTTTCTTCACTCTTTCTTTTTCGCAAATATTGTTCAAGGTCAAAACCATTAGTCACGTGATGCTTACAATGGCAATAAATTGAATACATGTACATGTATGCCATAATAATAAAAAATAAGAAATAAGTGAGTAGCTGATTGTCATAAGAAATGATTGTTAAATAACACTGATACATATCCTATCATAAATCAGGGTTCCTATCAGCGTACATATATACTAAAGAGGAAGAATGTCTTTGTATATATATTTCTTTGAAAAAGTTTGGACCAGATTACCAGGCAAAACGATGGATTTGCTTCAAATTCATTTGCTGAGATTTTACAAATGTATTCTTCCTCCTTAATGTCCCACATCAACTAGGCGCCCAATTACTGTGAAACTATTCAATCAAATTTAGACGAAAGTTCTTATATATTTGTATCTATACTGCCTTGTAAACTTGGTTATCTAATAACTACTTCAGAGAACAATGTATTTTTTTTTCATCTGCTATGCTAAATATTCATTATTCATAACAATTTGTAATTTGATAATTGAGTTCACGAGTCAGTTAAAGCTAGATCACCATGGAAAACCTGGAAGCGTGGGTCGGCCGTTTCGTCCTAGTATTGAACTCCTCACTAATTTACTTAACATGACAAGATCTTTTTCTTTGATAGTTCGTATTCAATTGTACCGTCATTATTTATCTAAATGAATTGGTTATATTTTATTAAGTATTTATAATCGTTTAGTATATACGAATACTGACAGAAATTCAACTTAAGATCATATGAATATTATTAAAATGTTAAAAGTTTTATAACAGTTATTAAGACAATAGTTACGTGTATGTTTAAGTCAAATGAATTTGATAGTAATAATGTTGTTCTTTGTCATCATCTTCTTTCGAATCTAAGCGAACTTCATTATGATATTTTTTGCTAGATTATCAAATATGAAGGGCAGACTTAGTATATTAATCGGCCGAATGGGAACAAAGCTAAAAATGACCTTTAAATTTTTAAGCTACTTATTATTCTGTCAGTAACATACTGATTACGAGCAACCGAGAATTTATCGTGTTACAAAACTAAAGAAACTTGAATACTATATTAGCCTTATACAGATTAAGACTTTTCTAAAGACATACAGTCAGAGTATTAAAAATACAAAAATGCATTCATTCAGGAGTAGATAACTTTATATCTTAAATTTATAAACGACTTGTTATATTATTCCCAAGATCTATTATTATTATTATTATTATTATTATTATTATTATTATTATTATTATTATTATTATTATTATTATTATTATTATTATTAGCTTTATTCAATATTATAATTTTGGTACAATATAGAATTCTCAGCGCAAAGTATTTCAACAAGTTTCCGTTTCTTTCTTCTTGGTCGGTCCTGGCGATAAATATTGAGGGATCGCCAGTTAGATGTTAGCACTTCAGTGAATGAACAACTGAATAATGTACATTCTTTTCGTTGTATATTGCCAGCAACCATATTGTCTCTTATTGAGTTTTCTGTAATTTTGACAACGAAAGGTTGTACACTTTTCAGAAACGCAGCAGAATAGGTTATGCGATTAATAAACATAATGATATATTAAAACAAACAACAATAGATAACTTGTTGAAATATCTAGATGGCAGGAACAGGTAGCCCAGATGCTCAAGCAGGCCGCCAATTGAAGTCACCTGCAAATTGATCTACTTGTAAAACAAGAAATCAACTATATATATATTCAACAATATACATATCGATTATCCATATTCGCGAATTATCATAACGAATCAAGAAGATTTCCAGAAGTACACATATTCTCCTCACTTAGCATTATATATTTAGAATGAAGACTGGGAGGAGGAGTGAATGATTGGTATTTTCATCATGAATCAACATCGTCTAGAATGCATAATGAATGAGTGAATTTCACTTTCATGGGTCACATCTCCTTATCCCTATTAATCAATTTTTTATCATGAATACTAGCAGAAGTTACGTTCTTGACTTCTAAGTGAAAATGATTTTTAAAAATAGTCGGACTGACCTTGACTGTCATGAAATAGTGAAGTACTTTTGGCACTGATAGATATTCCCTATTATATTGGGTTTATTTTAAATTTTATCATGATTTATTTCTCTTCGTTACATATCTGAAAAAAAAGTTCATTTTCGCTTAATATAATGAAATTATTATTATTATTTGAACACAAAAATACTGGTACAAGGGGGCACCAGATACATATGCTCCACACAAATCAAATGAGATTTGTGTTATGTCTGTGATACTGATCGGTTTCCCAAACCGAAGCAGGTAGTTTTCTTAGGGGGCCATACCCGGAGACTTCGGCCCGAAGGTCTGATCCACAAGCCAGTGGAGCACCGTAAGGAGATGCAGTCCCATGGTAGCCGATGACCAACGATTGGTTCGTACGTCATTTGTTACCTCTGGGTATTGGGACGCATGTGCACCATTGGTTTGGAGTCAAGGTTTTCCGACTCCCCTAGGTGGACTCTCCGTGCTCACCAACCCGGTTAAAGCGCCGGACATTCACTTTTCATCCTCTCAATTTCGTAAACAACACCTCCGCCACGAGAAGGCAATGAGTAGGACTTCCCTGACAGAGGCTATATACGCGTAACCATGTGAGAGCATTTCGAGAGGGAAAGAGGACTCTCCTTACTCTCGGCTGTACCAGGGCATTTGGGGGCATATATATAAGGAAATGTGGTGAAATTAATTAGTAATGAGAACTGAGGCATATTATATTCGAAAGTAAATAGGCCGAGTGTAACGTAAAATCTTGTTTTCTCTTAGCTTGAGTAGATTCTAAATTGCTGTCCAAATATAACACTATGGGTCAAGAAGTAATGTGATAGTGTCTTTGGTTTATAACTCACAGGGACGATATAATTAAGATCTCAGTGTCTTCAAGGTTGTCAGTACTCTTTGTTATGAGATGGTGGAGAAGATTTGTAGCTCAGGTGGATGATTTTGGTGGAGTTTTGTTCTCTGAGCTGGATGGTTTGGTCGTGGTCGTACTCTTTGTTAATAAGTACGAAACTTTTCAAAATAACAATGCTGAATAGTTGACTGAATTTGTAATATCAGTACAAGTGTATACTTACTACCCTAAAGTTGACCTTAGTTGATTATAATTCTCCATCTTGTATTTATCAAATGTTAGATTTGTAGTATTTTCATATTGTCTCGATTATAATTTACTATTGACCAAAAATAAACTGATTGGTTTTATTGACATAAAATATATTCCTGATTAATGAACTTTATAGTTCAACGATCCTATTTATATGCGTATAAGAATTTGAATTCTTATCAGGTTTTCCTCAAGGAATGATATCAACCGAAGAACTATCGAAAACTCAAGACTATTGCGTCATCCTAGTGTGGGGATCAATAAACCCGTCAAGAATTACATACATTATTTGTACCAATCGATTAAGTGGTAATGTTATCGACTTTTTTTATATTTTTCCTATCACAACATTAACTGATTTTTCATATTTTTTTTTGTTCTTATAGCATCTACAATAATAATGATAATTATTATCTAAGTATATTTCGTTTGCATGGAGTCCTAAATGGCTTGAAATTCAACTATTAATTATTTAATAGCTCTACCCAACTCCACTTTCAACTTCTGTTATTGAAGTTATCTTATCTTTTATTCATCAACCCAGTTATTACTAATCAAATTAATTGAATTCATCTGTTATACAAGAATGCCATAATGATGATGATGACGATGAAATATATTATCTGGAACAGTGTCCTATATTAATCTAATCCCTATATCCAAAACCTGACCCCCACCTCATCCCACCCCCATTCTTGATCTTTGGAAAATAATCACCGTTAAATGTATTTGTGTGTGTGTGTGTATATAATATGTGAGTCTATATTGAGAGAGAGAGAAAAAGTTTGAAAATGACAAGGGAAGTAACTAATGTTTCAAACCATCCTGAATATATATATATATACATACATATATATTAACTTTCGAATTTCTCTTTACAAACTTATTGTTGTTCTTAATTATTTGTTAATTATTGTCAACCTAATTTTATTGCTTTGAGAAATAATATGCACATAGTGATTTTTTTTTTAAAATTTGAATAAAACTTCTCAATAAACCTAAAAAACAATCAGTATCTTTTTGAAAGTAACCATGGAAACAAAACAAATTTCTTTTTCGTCAGTTAACCAACTAACTAATTGTTATTATTACTACTACCAATCTTGAAGAGATAGTATCCATATATATATACATATACATAAGTATATGTTTCAATGTACATGTATAGAAACAAGAAAATCATTGTATTTGATTAGAAAGAACACAAAATTAATTTTATTGATCAGGTTTGGTTTGAACGTTTCGTTAAGCAATAATGTATTGCTTGAAATATTCTTTTCTATTTACGAATAAACAAACAAAAAAGAAGCGATGATTTCCACTATTCGAAACTTATTCAACAAATAAGTCTGCTTGAATGATCAACTATAATAATAATAAACACTGTAGAATCTATCACTGAGCTCAATACAAAATAAAGAATCTATTGAGATTTTTGTTAAATTCTTTCTTATTATTGAGCAGATGTATGCACACACACACACACACACACACCTCTACACTAATTGCATCTCACTATAAGCTTTCTTTATGTAAAAAAAAAGCCAATAGGTGAGAATATGAATTTTTTATTGGTGATGATGAAAATGACAATGATGAACCACTTCCTCATCATCTGATCACGTTGAATCTTTTGTATTTGTTGTCTTGCCTTACCAATAATTTTGTATTCATCCCACCCCAATTTTCCATTTGTGTTTTTTTATCCTCAAAAACTTGCCTTGTCTTTTAAATCTAGAAAAAAATATATATTTATCATATCTTTGTTGCTAAATAAAATGCTTTTACAGTACACATTGTTATTATTATTATTATCGCCAATGCTACCATCATGTGGAGAATCCCAACAACGGAAGATTCTGTTAAATGTTCAAAAGCTTTAGTTAGATATTTTTTTTATAAATCACTATGGAAACCGATATTCTTTGCCAACTGTAGAATTTCGTCTCAAAATGAATTGAAAAACAGAATTACTATAATTACTATTATTATCTGTTTTGAAACAAACGAGAGAAGAACAAAAAAGAACAATACAATATTCAATCTCTTACAATGTTTGTTTAGAATCTGTTTTGTTTTTGTGTTGTCCTTTATTTATATTACACTTTCTTTTGGAGCTTTTTTGTTTGTATTGTAACCTCAGAGATATCTAACAACTGCTAATGCGACCATTATCTGTTGATGTTTATATCATATCCCAAAACTAAACAATATGGCTCTCTCTCTATATATATATGTCTGTTTATCAACGTGTAATTTATGAAATGAGCACTATCAAATGTCTAGATATTATTAGTGTTGTATACATGTGCCTATTTGTATAACTGTCTCTTTCTCTCTGCCCACTTACCCTGACTCTTAATATGTATAAATATGAAAACTAACGTGGCATTTTTGTGAATTTTAATTAAGTTCATATTACTTATGTCAATTATTTGTCTTCCTACCAATGGACCTCATTGTTATGTTACCAGTAATAAATCAATCTGGGAGGAAATTTGAAAGAAAAATAAACTAATTTGTTCCACACTTACACAAATACACACACATACAAACAAGAAAAAATATATATATATATGCTTACAGTTTCATATAATATACAAGTCAAAATTGAATAAATGGATGAATCAATGAACTCAAATGATGTAATCTCCTCCCATATATATTTCATTTGCATATTTGCTTACAATGTTATTATTTATACTTAAAATTCTTTTCATTTTGAGAAATATTTTCTTGTTACCATTATTTTCTATAATACTCTTTTTTTTATTATTATTTCAAAGTATATTGTATACGATTAAAATAATGAAGCAAAACGCAGTCATCATCATCATCATCATCATCACCATAGTGACTAGTAATACAACCCTTGGATAAATTGTTAATCATAATGATGACACAGCGGCAATGACATAAACTCAACTCAAATAAATAAATAAATAAACAAATATGAATATCCCTCCTATTTGTGATTCAATTAGTCATGTGAATTTTGATTGTTCACAATTGTTATTATTACTATTATTATTATTATTATTATTATTGTTACCATTAAATATTATTTTCCATTTTAGATTATGATAAGAGAATAATGCTGTTAAATAAAAACAAACTGATCATTTGATCTGATTGTCATTAATATTTGTAAAGGTTATCCCTTTCCCATTAGTTTAATATTGAGGATTGATTTCGATTAGTTTCTGTTGTTGATTAATGGGTTACTTGAAGGGTCATCTGATTATTATTATTGTTATCATCAATTTGATTAGTAAGAGTTACACATTTGGTTAGAGTATACAATAGAGATGAGCTTGAAACAACTGCTTATTTATTGAATTGTTCTGCAGAATAATCTACCTGTAAAACGAGAAATCAACAATATATATATATTCAACAATATACATATCGATTATCCATATTCGCGAATTATCATAACAAATCAAATAGATTTCCAGAAGTACATATGCTCCCCTCACTTAGCATTTTATATTTAGAATGATGACTGGGAGGATGGGTGAACGATTGGTATTTTCATCATGAATCAACATCGTCTAGAATGCATGATGAATGAGTGAATTTCACACAGATATACCAAAGGTGTGGTCAGAATTGTTCATTCATAAGAGATACTGTGATTGAGTTAAGCATGGTTTCGGAATGAAGAGTTTGTTGTTGTAAATAATGGATTGTGTTGATTCACCTATCATACACTATTTGAAGAGAGATAACTGATCGTTTGATAAGATTGACAGTATAAATTTTATTTTATTGTATTACTAAATAACTTTTCTTGATCAGTTTGAGCATTCTGAGCACTACTACTGGTTATATGTGCAACGGTTCCTGTCTAGCCGAAAGGTACCAACAGTGTGCAGAGTGAATGAGATGGGGTTGAAAAGAGAAGAACAAGAGTAAAGGTGAGTCGATGACCCATCCAGCACATGCGATGCGCTTACTTTTATTAAAGAAAGCAATAAACGACAGTCATCAATAACACAAGCCTCAGATTAAGACAGTCTTGGAATAGAACTTAGAAACAGATAGTTTAACCCGCTTTAACATGTAATACTTGAATTTTGCACAAAAATTCATAATTTACTTTCTGATCGCTTCATCTTTATATTAAACTTCTGTCCAAAGTTTTATTGGGTTATCAAAAGAGTTGCTGGTGGTAGAATTTGTAATGCCTTTTTATGTTTAGGGGTGCATTAATTGGTTGTACTTGTATTGTAAAATTTGACTGAATTAGGACAAGTATCCGGTACATTTTATGTTAACCATAAACATGATGTCTATGGAATTACCATTCGATGATAACATGAAATTACTGATGTTTTTTTGACTAAGTTCCAGTAATTGATTAAACTTTACGGAATAAAGAATTTGTGATTATAGTTGGGCTAAATTTTACGCGATGACAGTTTATGTATTTTTGGTTCTGGATTTTTATAAGCATAATAGTAACAGCTCTTAAGGATTTATACTCGAATTTCAACAACCGATCTACCAATGAATTGCAAACAGTATAACGTTTGTTTAGTCTTCTTTGTGCTGATCGAATTCTGTTATGTTTTTTGTCCTGCTAATGTGTCACTTGACAAAATCGCCAATTAGATGACCTACTTATATGACCTTGGCCCTGTGCCAAACCAATGACGTGTTAACAGCCTAGAGTCAACTTTGAGTTCTTACTGGTTTTTCTTGCCTTGCCCTGCCAGTTGAGTCCAGAACGCAATTTCAGCTTCCACTGTATGTATCACGTCGTTCAAGCATACGTAGTTTAAATACAAACAAATCAGATCGAATCATACCATGAAATAGAAAATAACAGTTATACAAGATCAGGCCAAAAGTGGCCGTGCGTGTGAGAAACTGTAACTAATATATCAGGAATAAGTTAAGAATGGGGATTTGTATCGCAATAGCCTATATGTCAAATGAAAGAAATACGAATGTATATATAGTCTAGTTACTTAGTAATTCTGCAATAACAATATATGTAATAATAGTCCATAAATAATTCCTAGCAGTTACCATTCACTTTTTCTTCCTTGGGATGTAACAAATTCCATAGATCAATTTGGAATATGTAGCTATTAATCTGAGTGACCTGGTATCACCTGTCCCATGTTTTGATATTAGATGGTCGAAGATAGTCGTCGGAAAACGCCAGCTTCCCTCTCCCAATTACTGTTGAAATGTTGTTGCCAATATATATTTGGCTGCATGAAGCCGGAACAAAATCTTCCTAATTAAATTCAAAGTTTATTCGACTATTTTTAGCAGTATGTCTAGGAAGCTGATCGTTTAGAGACAATATATATATGTGTAATCGCTTTGAACAAGTTTATGTGAAGGGAGTTTATAGAAGTAGGCGAATACACAGTTTTCTTACCATTTAATTATAGAAAAGACGAAATGACTAATCTCTGTATGAAAAATAGGAATTTTACACATGAGAGACCCAAAGCATACTTCGGAAGAGTGATTAGGAAGATAATACGCTATGATTCAGATAGACTACTAAATTACTATATTTATACTCATGACAGGAGGGACAGTTGATGTATTCGAGCAAGTAGTAATCAAGATTGAAATTATAACTTCTCGACGGAAAAAAATGTTGTCAGGGAATCAGTATTGTTTACTTAGACATCAATTTCCTAGTTCTCAAAAGCCTTCCATTCTTGAACACCGAACAAAAAAATAGAAGGTAGGAAGTAAGGCAAAACCCTTATTTTAGAGGTTAGGTTATATACAAGATATAATGATATTTATAGGATTATGAATTACCTTGATTTTCAATATCCATTTGGAAATGATAAAATTGGTAACAAATTTGGTAACTATCCAGTTAGAATAAATGAAACATAGTCAGTTGTTTTCTGGAATTTCCTTGAAAGTTTTCAAGTAGCAGTGATTAGTTCTAGTCTTTTCAAAAATTCTCACTTGTTCCTGAATACATTTTAGATGAATTACTATCAACTCTCAATATCAGAGATAGGAGTGTTTGGAAGGATATATAAAGTTCTGGTCCGATGAGAATAATTGTATCAAATTATTCTTCCACCTGTTAACATATCAATTTAATATCATACGCTAATTATCTAACTAAGTTTTTATTTTCTTTATTTCATTTTTAAAAGAAATCTCTTGGCCTTATTATACTATATGACTCCGATTGACTTCATCATTCATTCATGTAACTTCATATTTGTATAGAATAAAGATTTCATTGCATTATTTCATTAAACAATTAATTAATTTCAATGGTTGAGATCATAAGTCAATTGAAGCTAGACCATCATGGAAAACCTGGAAGCACTGGACGGCCGTTTCGTTCAACCGGGTCTGTTGTGAGATAGTAACTCACTGAAGACATTGGTGGATGTATCGCTCGATTTCGTGGAGTGGTTGAAGTTAAACATTAACACCGTCGGATTCCGGCTCAGTGGTCTAGTGATTAGGCGGTCGCGCACGAAACCGATAGGTCCTAGGTTCGAGTCTCACAGGGGGCGAGGTCGTGGATACGCACTGTTGAGGTGTCCCACAATAGAACGAAACAGCCGCCCGGTGCTTCCAGGTTTTCCATGGTGGTCTAGCTTCAACTGACTCATGATCTCAACTATTGAAATTACTATAATATCCACAAAACCCTTCTGATAAGAATTAACAAATTAATAACCAAACTCTCGCTTAAAATAATACTGTTGAATTCAAGAAAGTCATTTACTTTTCGTAACGTATATCTCAGTAGTAAATGTAATATATACCTTCTTGTATGAACTTTACCATCTGTCTTCAGCTATCTTCTTCACATAAATGACTAATATAGTGCATATACACGTAGACTATATTTCCAAATGCTGAACACAATCAAAAGTTCAAAGCTAATAAAGAAAGCATAATCAATAAACGTTGAACCATAATGCAGCTTTTCGAAATTATCATCTTCATTCTGAGTATCAGTAAATGATAAGCTTTATCAATTGGTTGTCACCAGCCATTTCAAAAATACCAGTCAAAATAATTGAATTGATGTTCAAAAAGTGATTTATCTAAATTAACAGCAAACGAAATCAATTTTCAGAAAAGTTGTTTTGTTTAGATTATTTTGATATGTAGATAGTAATATTCAAGGACTGGTTTCAGTCCTCATGCCAGTGAAAACCAGAAAACACTAGATGGCTATTTCGTCCCAGTATGGGACTCACCAGCAACATGCACCCATGACCAACCAGAGATATGACCTAGAAATTTGAGGATCTGGTGTTTATGTTTAACTGTTAAGTCACTGAGTCGACACTCAGTCGGTACACATTTGAAACTCTAGTTAATTCATGTTATGGGGTGATGTGAAATTTTAAGCTAGGTAGCACTGAGATCGTACAGGTGAGTTAGTGAACCACTGGACTGGTAATCCAGATATTCGTCCTTCGAATTCCATTCAAATGCTGGTTTATATCTTATAGGTGGAGAGTTTCCTTCAGTCGTCTCTGACTCCATTTATCATTCGGTCACAACTGGACTTCAGACTTCTCAACAACGCAAACACTGTTGATGCACTGCTTTCAGACAGTGTGAAATAGAGAGTAAGAAAGCAGTGGTATGTTGGATAGAGTATTGGTACTAGTATGAACAGGCAATTCCAAGTTGGATGGAAGTCAATTTATTGTCAAGCACCAGACAAACAAATGTATGAGCATGCCCAATGTTAATGTTAAATATTCCAGTGTCTATAAATTGGGAGATGTAGATATCAAAGCCTTGCAGTTTGTGATGAATAAGGATTTGACACAAATGTACTGATTTCCTAATGTTGTTTCGATATGCTTTGCCAGCTGGGATGACAACAACATTTGAGTGATATATGTAAGAAAAGTAGGAAAGGCTTGTCTCGGTGGCCTAATGGATAAGGCGTCGGTTTCCGGAGCCGAAGATTGAGGGTTCGAGTCCCTCCCGAGACGTCAATTTTCGTGACATTAAATAAATATAACCACTATTCCGGACATCGTATGATCAGTGCAGCCCACAATTGTCGAACCAGT